CCTCTTCCTCTTCTTTGGCCTCCGGCTCCTCATCGGATCTCTCCTCTTCGCTCTGGGCCTCCGGCGTGGGAGGCCGGCGGGGCAGGATCTCGGCCTGCAGCTCCAGGGTACCGTGGGCAGCCAGCAGTTCATAGAGCCGCTGGATTTCGGAGGGCGGGGGCATCCAGGGCTGCCCATCTGCGGGCAGCTCCACCTCCTCGTCGCTGCAGGGCACGCACCAGTCATCGGAGTCCTCCTCCGCAGGCTCTTCCCTACCGGCGCTAGGGACTTCTCCCTGCGCCTCCTCTTCCCCGGACCCCTCACGCTCAGTCTCCTCTCGGCCTCCTTCCTCCTCGTCCTCGGCCTTACCGGCCGAGGCAGAGGGGCCTCCGGTATCCTCCACGGCCAGAGCCTGGAGGCCGGAGGTCACTTCCCCTTCTTCAGACAGAGGCGCCGCCGTGGTGGCCGCAGTGTCTCCATGGCCCCGAGCAAGGGACATAGGCCACTAGGGCAGGGACCCTGCGATGACAGCTGCTGGAGTCCGAAGCCAGGGTCCCCCAGGGATCGGGCTCCCCGGGGGGTTCGGGACCGTCTCCAGCCAATCAGGCTCCCGCAGGGGACGCCGCGGCCAGACCGCCAGTCCCCGGGAGGGGGCGCTCGGTCCCCACCAAGGACCCCACCCCGTGGATCGAGGTCCGGTACTCCGACGCTCCCGGGCCCCGCAGAAACCACTTTCGGAAAGGGGAAAGAGAGGGACGGGCTACTCTTCGCTTCCACGCCGCCCCTCTCCACACCTGGACGCGGCGCCCTCTCCCCAGACCTCGCAGTTGTGGGCCACGTCAAGTCAGCCGCCGTACGCACCTGGAGCTAAGACCCGCCTCCGAGGCTGCGCAAGGTCACACTACGCAGGCGCACAGAAATGGCGCGGGAGGCTCCGCTCTAGTCTAGGCTACTTGGAAGAGGAAAGCGAGGGAAGGCTTGCACATGCGCGAGTAGGCGCGCAGGCTTCAGCCCACAGTAAAGATGGCCACTGGGATGGCGCATGCGCATTCCACCCAATAAGGATCTGCCGGAAGAGAGGCAGCACCGCCGGGCCGGCGGGACGAACGCAGGAACCAACCGAGACTGGAGGCGAGTCTCATGCAGTCTCCGTTTATTGGTGTTTCAGACTCATGCAGCATCCGGCATACAAAAAGGGAGAAATCAGTTTGATAATAGCCTTTTTCTTTTTTTTTTTTAAGAATTTGTTTTTTTTTTTTTTGGAAAAAAAACCCCGCCAAATCCGAACCGCGTTGTAGCTCGGTCCCCGCCTCCTCAGCGGGCTGTCGCGTGCAACAAACCTCCCCCGTCAGCTTAGAAAATAATTATAGAGCGCCCCGCCCCGCCCTCGCTCCTGCCAGTGGGCGCTTTGGTCCTATTTTTTGGATTCTTTCGTTACGAAGCACGTGAATGAATCTAGCCCGACACCTTCAAGAAAAAACTCGTGGACTGGGGTTGAAAAGCCCAGGTGGGCGGGTCAACTCCAGCTGACCTGGAGGGGTCGCCGCGTCCCTCCCTTCTCCCCTGCGTGCGTTCGGAACCAGTGCTCGCCACCCTCACCCGAGTCCCCACACGAGGCCCGGCTTGCCAGCTCTACGACCTGCAAGACACCCTTGGGTGTCCGACCCTGGGTGGTCCCAGCAGAGAACAGTCGGAGCCCGGGGTTGGGGAGCCCTCTCCCAACACTGCTTCCCGCCCCCAAGCCTCAACTAAGTGCTGTCATTTTTGCAGAGTAAACGGTGACGGGAGGTTGGAGAAGAGGATGCTTAAGGGAGATGAGGAGGCAGGAAGAGGAAGGGGGAGATGATAAGGGAAGGAAGAGAGGACTGAGGGTTGAGAGATGCCAAGACAATGGAAGTTGGGAGGAGGCCAGGGTGGAGGTCCAGAGAATTTGGGAGGCAGGAAGAAGTGCAGGGAGGCCAGGAGAGATGCAGGGAGGCTGAGAGCGCAGAGTTGGGGAGGTGTTCAGGGAGGTTTCCAGAGTGCAGGGAGGTTTCCAGAAGTGCAGGGATAGGGGGCCAAGAGGCTGGAGGGGATGCAGGCAGAAGTGCAGGGAGGTTGGAACCAGTGCAGGGATGAGGAGGCCTACAGTTGGCAGAGGAGCCTGGCAAGATGCAGGAGCAGGACAGAAGCTGTAAACAAGGCTGCTCAGGCTCCCTTGGTCCTTAGGGGTGGGGGCCAGGGCCATCAGTTGGGCTCCCCCCAGGGGAGGGATGGGCCCAAGGCAGCTCCCAACAGGAAGAAAAGTCTTGGGATGTGGGGCAGAGCCCCTCACTTATACACTGTGGGAGAGGAGAGGGAAGGACAGACAGGGGGGAGGGGGAGACAAGGAGAGACAAAGGAGAGGTAAGGAGGACAGACAGGAGAGAGCAGGGGCAGGGGTTAGTAAAGCTGCCCTTGCCAACCCTTCCATTCCTCCCCTGCCTGTCCCAAGCCCCCACTCACCGCCTAAGTTGATGACGCAGGAGGCGATGATGATGAGGACTCCCCCCACCAGTGCCACGATGCTTAAGAGCTTGGCCACACGGCCCAGACGCTGGGCCCCGTCCACGTCCCCCTGCTGCAGGCTGTTCCGGGACTGGGATTAGGGCAAGGGGTGGAGGCACATGGCCGGGGTCAGGAGAAGCCAGCCCAGAAGGGATCAGGTGGAAAAGTCATCCAGAAGAGAGAGGCCAGCCCCATGGATGGCGGGTAAGGGAGGAAGGAGTGGAGGGGTAGGGGGAGGAGGGCACAGGTCAGCGAGGCTATGTGACATATGTGCTTCCATATCCCTCCCACCCAAAGGGGGGCAGGGCAGTGGTGGCTCAGAGGGTTAGGTCCTAGGGAGAGGCAAACAAAGGCCCTGGAATTGGGGAGGTGGGATCCATGCAGACAGGAGAGGGTAAGGAAGGCATGATTACTCCTGGGGCTCTGTCACAGCACTGGCGGGAAGCTGGGAGCCACAGCAGGCCTGGGCCAGGGTCCCATGGGGCTCACCATGACAGCATAAGCGAAGGCCACGATGTTGACAGGCCACATGGGGCAGAAGCAGGACAGGATGGCAAGGATGATGTAGTCCCGAGGTTTCTGGGTGCCTTCACCCCCCTCCACCCCAGGACCTGCCAGCTGGGAGCTGGGGTGGCGGCTCAGGCTACCTCGGGGAGATCCTGGATGCCCACTGTGCGCCCTTCCCATTCGATCCTCCTCAACCAACTGCTGCAGCACTCGGGGGGGAGCCCCATTAGCTGGGGGGGATTTTTTTGAGGGTGGCGAGTGAGGCTCAGGGGCTGGGCCCTCTTCCCCATCACCAGCCTGCAGGGGCACCACTGCCCCATTCTCTTGCTTTTCCTCCACACTCTCAGACAGAATCTCAGGGGTGGGGTCCTCCTGGGTAGGCAGCGCTGGTTGAATGGCTGGCTTGGGGGTGGGCTGGGAATCTGGCTGGGGGTCTGGCTGCGGAGCAGGCTCTGGGGCTGGTTCAGGTGGGGCTGCAGACTCCAGCCTGGACCCCTGGTCTGCAGTGGCCTCTTTGCTCACTTCTGGTTTAGACACTGTTTCTTGGCATGGCTGTTCGGGGCTGCAGTTGGCCTTTGATTCCCCTCCTGGGCTTAAGCTGAGGTCTGTGGCCTGGGCTGTTTCTGAGGCCCCAGCCGGGGTCTCTGGGGTTTCTGGAGCCAGCCCAGCCTTGGGCCCTGAGTCCACAAGGGCTGCAGTGGTGTCTGGGCCTGGCTGCGGGGCCTCTGGCTGGTCTGGTACCCCTGCTAGGACCTGGGGAGGGCCAGTTTCAGCTTCAGAATGGCCAGGCCCTTTGCCTGGAACCTCGGGACTCTCCTCAACCCCCTTCATCTCAGAGACCTCGGAGCTGCTGGCTGCCATCTTGAGATGGGAGAGGGGAGAGAGCCCCTTTGGGAAGGATGGAATAGCAGAGACAGCGGCAAACCCTGGAAGAGGAGGAGATAGGCTTGGGGTGAGGAGGGAAGAGGGTGTTCAGCACTGCAGGCCCAATTGGGCCACATTCCTGTCTCAGGGCCAGCCTTGCACTGCCTCTAGGGAGAGGAAGAAAGTTGGGGTTTCCTTTGCTTTAGGGTGGGACATCCCTGGGGGAGGAGTGCTCTACTCAAAGTATTCTGCTTGGAGAGCCCTGGGGAAGATTAACCCTTTTGTAAACAGGACCTTCTCCAGGGTCTCTCCCTGGGTCCATCCAACAAGATCCAGACTCTCAGATCCCAGCACCCCAAAATTAACGAGCTGTGCAAACAGCACTCCGACAGGCGGACTGGGCAGAGGACCCGACATTCGCATTCCACTCCCTCTGCATCCTCCCCTCCTCCCTGGGCGCCCAGGCGGTGCGGGTTTTCTTGCTGCGCGTTTAGGGCGAGGACGCCCCCGCTTCTCCCTGGGGGACCTGGTTATCTCCTCCGATCCCCGTCAGCCCCTCTCCTGGGGCTTCCCTCGCCTTCGGTGGGCTGGCGCCTCCTTCCGAGGGTTCAGCCCGCCCAGCACCACCAGCCCTCTAGACACCCGCATTCCCGTGCAGCCCGCCCGGCGTCGGCCGTCGGTCGGTCCACTCCTACCCGCAGCCTCAGTCTGCCCGGGTCTCACCTCGACGCCGGCCTCCGGACAGCTCCCGCTGCCGCTGCTGGCTTTTGCAGCAGCCGCAGCCCGGGAGAGAGCAAGTCAGCTAGGGAGGGAGGGAGGCGGCGGGTCTCCCTCCTCTCCCCTCCCGTGTGCTCATCCCCTCCTCTCCGGTCCCCTCCCCTACGCTCCGCCGCCGTCGCGCGCCGCCCCCGCCCCTCGCGAGCCTCCGGCCCCTCCCGCCAGCCCCAGGGAGCCACGCGTTACCCAGGCAACCGGCCCGTGGACCACTCGCGCCCCCTCCCTGCCCCTTCCCACGCGCGCCTCCAGGCGGGGCCCCCCGCCTCCTTCCTAAGTCCCCGGCCCCGCCCGCCAACGGTCACCGGGGTCCCTGGAAGAGACGGGGGTTGGGGGAAAACGGAGAGGGTTCTGCGAGGAGACGGGACCAGTGAGACAGGCAGGACCGGGTGGAGGCGCCTCTACGAGCAGGAGGAGGGGAAGGAAGATGGGGCAAGACACGGGGAGGCTGCAGAGGAGCAGCAGGGTGGGGTTTCGAGAGAATGGACCCTGCAGAAAGGAGCAGCAGAAACTAGCGCTGGAAGGCTCGAAAAAGGGGCCCTGGAAAGGACTGAGCGGGGACAGGAAATTTCAAGGGGCAGGAGAGGCTGGGCAAAAGAGCCCGTGTAAACACGGGGTGGCCTATGCCCAGGATTAGGGACAGGTGCAGCTTTCATTCTCTACCTCGCTGCTCTCAGTCCTAGGGCTTGGACTCCCCAGCCTTTCCGCAGCCGCATCCACCCACCATGGCCTCAGGGATGTAACGCGCGCAGGGAGGGATGCGGCTGGGGGCTGAGCAGCGGTCATGGGTGTGGACGGGGGATGGCGGCATTCCTGTCTGGCAGCTGCTTGGTTTTCTAACGGGGCCTCTTCAAACCTCCAGGGGCCATTCTGGGCCTGTCCCGATAGGGAATTCCCCAGAGACCTGGAACTTGCTCTCCACAGCCACAGCCTTGGCCCCGCCCTAAATCTGTGCTGCCGCCAGTAAGACTGCCCCTGGGGAGGGCGGAGCCAGAACCCCACAGCCGCACAGGGTAGAGCAAGGCTGAACTGATAAGACACCTGGCCGAGAACAAACCCTTGGGGGTGGGGGCAGGTGCTTAGTGATGGCAATTCATTTAATCCAGAGGCAGAAACAAGATTTTATTTAAAATTTATTGTAATAGGGTCTGCGCAAAAGGAAGGGGTGGAGGGTGGGGTACATGCAGGGGACACAGGAACACGATGACATAGCCAGGGCCACAACTTCTGTCGTGGGGAAGAGGGATGAAAAGACAAGACCAGGGCTGGAGCTGGGGTGGAAAAGGGGAGGGGGACACTGGCTGCATTCCCCCGCCCCAGGAAGCACCTCTAGGCCCTGGACCCCTCGCTCACCCTGGCCCCTAAGACTCCATCTCTTCTCTGCCTCTGGCCCTCCTGGCTCCTCCTTCTGCTCCCCTTGACTTTTCCCCATGACAGATTCTCAAGTAGGACGATGTTCAGGGCTTGACCCCAAATCCCCATACCACCTTATGAAGGTACAACCTTTGCCGGCCCTGCTTCTGCCCCTCCTCAAACCTCACCGCTTTCCCTCTGGGACAGCTCTGATCCCCCTCCTTCCTCTCCTCCCTCCCCCTGGAAAAAAAAAAGGGAAAAAGAAAGCACCAACTCCCCGGGGAGGGGCTGCAGACAGCAGGGGGAGAGGACTGGAAGGAGAGAAGAGGACCGTCGAGGGAAAAGGCTCACAAGTCCCTGGGAGGACAGGGCATGGGCTTACAGAGAGGAGAGGGGGTACGGGCAGTGGCTGCTCGTGTCCTCTGCCACCCTGCCCACTGTCCAGGGGACTTCAACACAACCGAGGGGACAGGTTTGTGTGGGGTCAGGTCTGATAGAAGAGAGGAGCAGGAGAAACAAATCGTTAAAACCTAGCGAATTCCCCTAAGAAAACATTTCTTCCTCCTTTCCTTCCGGAGGCTCCTTGGTTGGTGGGGAAATAGGAGTTGGTGGGAAAAGAGGGGGGAGAGGAGCCTGTACCAGGGAACTCTACTCCATTCTCCCCTCTCCCCCGCAACCAAGTTGGAGCTCACCAGGGTTGGGAGGGAAGTGGCTGAGAGCTCACAGGCACCCCCTCCGCCCCCGAGAGGGAGCCCACAGCTGTGGGAGGGGCTGCTACTGCTGCTGCCGCCGCTGCTGCCGCTGCTGCTGCCGCCGCCGCCGCTGCCGCCATTGGACAAACCTCACCAGTACCTGCACACGAAAAACACCACGGATCACAGCGCGATCTCAATGGCAAAAGCCTTGCCCTCACCCCAGACCTTCCCAGTTTGCTTCCCCTGGGACACAGCCGTTGCTCACTTCCTATCTGGTTCCCAGAGGCCTCGGCCTGCATCCTCACCCAGACAGAGCAGTTCTCCTCAAAGGTCCTCCCTGTACCCAGAAATCTCCCTAGCCTGAGTGGTACATGGGCATCCCTCACCTTCCTGAGATCCCCTATTGGGCCCTTTGAGCCCCCTTGTCCCCCACACCCCCCATCCCGCCCCCCAGCCATGCCCCACGCCTTGCCTGGTGGGTGTGGGGTCCCCCTCAGCAGGTGGGCTGTGGCTGGGGGGCGTCTCCCGGGACAGGGGGGGCGGCCCCCACCAGATGGGTCTGCATGTGGCCGGCCAGCTGGGCAGGGGTCTTGCAGTGCACGCTGCACAGCTTGCACAGGATGCGGTCAGCCCGCGGGGCCTGGAGCCCGTGGTCCTTCACCGCGTGGATGCGCAGGTATGCTGCCGTGGTGAAGCCTATTGGGGGGTGGATTGGGATGGGGCGGGGGTCAGCCAGGCGGAGACCCCAGAGACGGGGCTGATCTCCTAGGCGGGGGATGCCCTCCTCAGATGGCCCTGTCCTCCTCCCACGGCATCCTTGGTAGCCTGGGGTTAACTGCTCTGCTGGGGCTGGTGGGCACAGCAGCCCCTCCCTGAGCCTGGGGCCTGGCTTGCGTGGTGCCCGCTTCTCAGCCTTGGTACCTACAGAGCTCACTCTCCATGGCCGAGAGACCTCTCCCAGGATGACAGGACACTGACTCCTAGCCAATGGCAGGGTTGACCCTCAGCAGAGACGGCTGTGTCCCCCTCCCTCCAGTGCCCCGCGGTCTCAACCCAGTTAACCGGTGAGTCTGACTGAAGGCAGCTTTCTCTGCTACCCGTGCAGGGGGCGTGCTGGTAAATCCCAGCCCGTGTACTACTCCACCTGCCCCAGGAGCTGGAGACAAGACCTTGTGGCTGCGCGGCGGAAACCTTGCCTTGTGACCCTTGGAACTGGCTTTCTTGACTACTCCCTTCCCCAGAGCAGCCAAGTTCCACTCCCGCTCTCCCCACGTATGCCCAGGAGATTCAACCTCTCTGGCAGATCTCTCCTCCAGCCAGGACTTCTTAAGAGTCTAACAACATTCATTCAGGTGTCCCCCGCTGCTCCCTTGACCTCTTGGAGGACTCTAGACGCCACGAGCTCTTGGCTACAGCACCCTTAGCCCGTATCTGTGGCAGGGCGTCTGGCCAGGCGCCCACCCTCTGCCCCTGGCCCTCCCGGCAGTCCTCGGCATGTACCTTTGTTGCAGAGCTCACAGACATGGTGAGGGCCCTGGCTGTGCACCTTCATGTGGTCCGAAATATAAGCCGAGCTCAGCATCTTGCCACACACGTGACATGGCACCTTCTCCTCGTGTCGAACTGTGTGCGCCCGCAGCCGATCCTTCGTGGCGAAAGCTGCCTCACATTTCTGGGGAGGGGGGAGGGGCGTGGGGGGTGTCACAGGAGAATTAAAGCTTGGCGGGCTGGGGAGGGGGGAGCAAGAGGTTAAAGGTATCAGAGCCTTGGGGATCTTTGATCTGTAGGAAATGGGAGTGACATGATGAGGCCTTGAAGAAGGGATGAGAAAATGGAGTGAAAAGGCAAAAAGAAGAGAGAGAAAAAGGGGGTCTGAGAGGCTGAACTCAGACAGCTACCATGAGGATCAAAATCATGAAAACCAGGACGGGAAGAGGCGGGCTTCCTACCTCACATTTGAAGGGCCGTTCTGTTGAGTGCACTTGTCTGACGTGACTGTTGAGGTGATCCGGCCTGGGGACACGTTGGGGTTGGGGTTAGGGTGGAGGTGGTGGACCCCAAATCCGCCAACCTGCACCACAGGCCTTTCCGAGGATCCCTGCGCCTCCTCCCGGAGCCCGGGCCGTCACAGCGCCACTTCGGCAGGAAATCCCTCCCCTGGAACCCAGCCGCTGCCGCCGCCGCCTCCTCCCACGCAAAGCTTCCGTCAACCCCAAGGCCCACCTCCTCGACAAAGGACCACCCCTTGCTCCCTGGTAACCGGGAGAGGCTTCCTCCCTCCGCCCTGGGAGGGGCTCCCCTTCCCCAACCTCAGCAGCCGCCTCCCTCCCCGCCAGCAACGGCCAGGCCACCTCCGTCGCGTCCCTCCCTCCCCACGGCCTAGCGGGCGGCCGAGGCCCCGTGCACACCGGGAGAAGCTCTTGCCACAGTGGGAGCAGTTGTAGGGCTTGTGCACAGCGCCGTCATGTGAGCGCACGTGGTAGCTCATGCGGTCCTTGCGCTTGAAGCGCTGCTGGCACACCGGGCACTGGTAGGGCTTCTCGTCCGAGTGCGACAGCTTGTGTCGGTTCAGGTGGTAGACGTCGCGGAAGGCCTTCCCGCACATCTCGCAGGCGTGGTTCTTCCGGATGCGCTTCCCCGAGGCGGTCGTGGTCACCACGCCACCGGCGGCCACTGCGGCAGCGCCGCCGCCGGCACCCGCCTCTCCCCCTCCCCCGCCAGCTCCGCTCAGCTGGGGCACGCTCAGGAGGCTCAGGGGCACCATGGTGGGCATCTTCATAGCACCCGAGGGGACCCGGCCGGCCTTGGCTCCCGTGTGGATGGCTTCGTGCCTCCGGAGATTGTAGCCGTTCTTGAACTCCTTGGCGCACAGAGCGCAAATATAAGGCCCCTTGCTCTTTGTCTTCTTCTCCAAGGCAGACGCAACCGGGGCCACGGCGACCGTCGAGGTTGGGGCTACGACGGCGGTGGCCGCCGCCGCGGCGATGGTGGCGGCGGAGGCGGGGGGGTGCCTCCGGAGATTGTAGCCGTTCTTGAACTCCTGGCGCATTACAGAAGTGCAGAACATAAGGCCCCTTGCCTTTGTCTTCTCCAAGGCAGACGCAAACCGGGGCCATACGGCGACCGTCGAGGCTAGTTGGGGCTACGACGGCGGCAGCCGCCGCCGCGGCGATGGTGGCGGCGGAGGTGGGGCGCGGCCTCTGCCGCGGGCGCCGACACGGGCGGGGTGGCGGAGGGGCGCGTGGCTGCTTCAGGGCTGCTGTCCACCGTGGAGGCAGCGGCGGGGCCGGGGTGGCGCGGTGCAGCGATTTATGCGGCAGCAGCGGCGGCGGCGGCCGAAGCAGCCGCGGCGGACTCCTGGGCGGCGGCAAAGCACCGGAGCAAGTCCACCTGGAGGCCTCGCCGCCGGGGCCTGGGGCGTGGGCGGGGAGCGCGGCCTACGGAAACAAGGCGCCGAGTGGGCCGCGAGTGCGGGCGGGCGCCTCAGCCTGCGGGCCGCCGCGGCCGGCCCTACCACCTGAATGGACTCTGGGCGCAGCCCTGGGGAGGCGGGCAAAGAAGGGACTGAGCTCAGCCCCGGACCCGGTGGGGGTTCTGGGTGACCCTGAGGTGGCGGGGAAGGAGTTCAGCGAGAGGCCTCACCCCCCGGGAGCCCCAGGCCCAGCACGGAAGGGGGCCAGCAGCGTGGGTGAACACCGGGAACATGGCCTCGGCCGCAGTGGGCCTCGCCTGGGGCGTGGGGGCCGGGGCGCGGGGCCGCGCGGGGCCTGGGCTCGGGCGCGCCCCTGGCCGGCCGGGCTGGGCTGCGCTGACGCATGGCCTGCGGCTGCCCCTGGCGCCCGGGCGCACCTCCCGGCCGGCGGGAGGGAGGTGTGAGGGAAGGAGGGTGCCTTGTGGGGCTGCTGCGGAGTTACGCCGCGGCGACGGTGGCGGCGACGCCCCCTGGGTGGGCGGGAGGCTCGCGGGGCCGGGGCCGGCGGGGCCCGGGCGGCGGCGGCGGCGGCGGCGGCGGCGGCGGCGGTTGGAGCCTGGCGGGGCGGGGTGGGGGGAGCGAGGGAGCAGCCTCGGCCCCCGCCGCGCGCGCGCCCAGCCGGCGCCTCGGGGAGGGCGGGGGAGGGCGCGAGGGAGGGAGGGGGACAGCTGCGCGCGCACCGGGCGCGCGGAGGGGGGGTGGGACGGGAGGGAGGGCGGGCAGGAGGGGGTGTGGGCAGGGGGGTGGGGGCGGGGGGAGGGGGTTGTTACCTGGAAGATGAAGCTGCTCCAGTTGCTGGGATCCATGGCGGAGGGAGGGAGGGAGGTGGCTCGCGCTCACCCTGGGGCGGGAGGAGGAGGAGGCGGCGGTGGGGGAGGGGGAACCCGGGGAGGAGGTGCGCGGGGCGGGCAGGAGGGGGGAGGTGGAGGGTGGGGGGAGCGGAGCACACTGCGCGCGGGGAGGGCGGGCGGGGGGCGCGAGGACACACAAGAGGCTGGAGCGGGCGCGAGCGCGAGCGCGAGCGCGCGCGTGGCCAGCGGGAGGGGCGGGCGCGAGAGGGACTCTGGCGGGAGGAGGGACGGGGGAGCCACCCAGCAGCCCGAGTCGCCCCAAGCGCGAGACCCCTGAGACGGCTGCTGATTGGCTGACGATGGCGCAGGTGGTGGGCGCGCGGGAGACGGGGCGGCTTCTCTCCTCTTCCCCCCTCCAACGATTCCACCCCCCTCCGCCAACGGCCGTTATTTCGCGCGCACGCGCACAAGGCCGCCGTCGTTGCCGAGCGGGAGAATGGGGAGCGCGCGCCGGGGGCACGGACGGGGCGGGGCTAATCCCTGAGCGCGCGCCCGCCTAACGGTCGCAGGCCTCATGCTTCGGCTTCCGCTTTTTGTGTCCTGCCGGCCACCGTCCTCCCCGCCCCACTCCAGCTGTTTATTTACAATCCAGCGCTGACTTGCTGCCCGAAGATGGCGCCCAGTGGAGTCTCCGGCCTCGCTCGCGGCCCACCCCGAGGCGGTCACACCCCGGTCCCGCCCCCACAGCCCCAAAAATCAGGCGGAAGCACCAGAGCAAAAACTGTATTTACACAACACGGGGTTATACAAGGATTTAAAAAGGCGGAGTGAAGAGACGACGGTCAGGAGGGGCCACAGCGCTGGCCGGCGGCGAGACCCAGGATGTTTGCCTGCAACACAGGAGGGAGGGGAGCAGCCACGTTAGAGAGGGACGCGGGGCGCAGGACACGCAGAGGAGGGGCAGGGCCGTGACCTCACCTTCAGGAAGGACTCCATCTGTTTCCCCGTTATGCCCTCCACGCGTTCCAGGTCCTCCACCTGGCGGGACAGGATGGATGGGGGACGGGGTCTCAGGGGTGCCGGGTCTCCCCAGCTCCCTGCCCTGTCCCAGTCCAGTGGGCTGTTACCTGGCTGAAGGGGCCGTGAAGCTCCCGCCAACCTATGATTAGCTGAGCCTTCTTCGGGCCAATACGCTGAAGACTGCGGAGATCCCGGGCTGAGCCTTCGTTCAGCAGATCCAGTATTTTTTGGCGCCCATGAGCCAGTAGCTCCGGGCTGATCTGTAGCTCCCAGCAGTCCTCAGCCTTCTCCTCAGGCTCTGGGGTATCCAGGGACTCCACCTGGGCGACAAAGGGAGGTGAGTGACACGCAGGGCAGCCAAGTGCTTTGGGCTCTTCTGCCAAAACTAGGAGCCCAGCACCAGCGACCTCCTGCGCTGCAGCCTCTTCCTCTCCTCCTCAAGTTGTTTCCAAAATCCCGCCTTCAGGTCACTCTCTGGGTTAATTCTCATTATGCAGCTAGTGAAACAGAGGTACTATTTAGTACTCAGTGGTAATATTAGCACCTTTCTCATGGAGTTGCTGTGGAGATCAAGTGAGTTAATGAATGTAAAGCACAAAATAAGCTCTTAAATCTGGTCCCTCATCTCTAAAATGGAAAGAATAAGCTCTCTTTGAAAAGTACGTAGGAGAAAATAAATAAATGATACCTCCCCCCAACCATCTCAGTAGTAGTTCTAGTGGTGTTCAATTCTGGGTATGCACGCGTGTGCACGTGTGGTTTCATTCTTGAGTGCTTAGGTTCCCTAAGTTTTCCCTCTTAAGCTTGTAGAGGGCAGAAGCCAGTCTACACAGTGGAACATCCGCTCTGTGAGGTACATGTATATCACTGCCTTCCACCCTAAATGCCCTGCAAGGAACCATTCATCACCACATTCCAGGGGTAAGCAATTGAGGCCGGGTTTTTTTTTTTGTTTTTTTTTTGAGATGGAGTCTCACTCTGTCGCCCAGGCTGGAGTGCAGTGGCCGGATCTCAACTCACTGCAAGCTCCACCTCCCGGGTTTATGCCATTCTGCCTCAGCCTCCCGAGTAGCTGGGACTACAGGTGCCCGCCACCTCACCCGGCTAGTTTTTTTTTTTGTATTTTTTAGTAGAGACGGGGTTTCGCTGTGTTAGCCAGGATGGTCTCGATCTCCTGACCTCGTGATCCGCCCATCTCGGCCTCCCAAAGTGCTGGGATTACAGGCTTAAGCCACCGCGCCCGGCTGAGGCCTGTTAATAACTGGCGGCCATCACCCAGTTCGTTTAACCCCAAGGCCAACGCTCCTCCCCCTAGAGCCTACTCCCCCTTACTTCTGGGCTCCAGGTGTAGCCTAAGCCCCCAGCTACTTTCACCTTTCTCTTCCGGCCTTTATTCTTCAGGATATGGATCTCGGCATTTGGGGATGCTGCCTGCTCCTGAACTGAAAGTAGGAATTGAGAACTGATTGGAGTCAAGGCAAAGGGTACTTTTCACCCTCCCTGGTAGCCCTTCGGTTCTTCCATTTCTGATTCCCCAGCTTCCCTCCACCCTGAGTTAACCTGTTGTGTTTCCACATGACCCTTTTTATACCCGCATCTAAAGTAATTTCAGTCTTCCATTGTCTTCAATCCTCTACTTGTTTGTCCATCCCACTGTACTAAACACCCGAGGGCAGAGCCTCCTCACCCCTCCCAGGGACTGGTATGTGGTGGGAGAACATAAATGACATGGAGACAGCTGCTCCTAACACTTCCTGCCTTATGGGATCTCAGCTGCCTTGGTCCCCCTATCCCCTGGAGTCAAACTTACTTAGCTGTAGGGGCATCACCACAGCCTTTTTCAGGGGCTTTGCCACTGTGACTGTGCGATGCAAAAGGGGCCGGAGGATCGTGGGACAATGGTTCTCCTTTTCCTTTGAGTCTTCAGCCTTTTGGGCCAACACCTTGGCCTCCAGTTCTTTTTGTTTCATCTTAAGCCTCTGTTGGAAAGGATCAGGGAGATGTGACCCAGACCCAACTCCAGGGCAGCCTGAAGGGCAGTGGGTTATCAGGGTGAGTATGCAAGGCTCTGAGGCCCCAGAGGGCAGGGCTAGGACCAATGGGAGGTTACCAGGAGACAGGTGGAGCCTAACGTAATTAAGAGCTTTCTGTGAGCAAGGGGCTACCCAGAGGTGGAATAAGCTTCTGCAAATATTGAAGGAAAAGGCTTTTCAAGCAGAGTCCTCCATTAACTGAGCTGGGCTTTAGGAAATGTAATGTTTAACATTTGTTGCTTTTACTTTGAACTTTTTCTTCTCAGCCCCTCACATCTGATCTCAATTGTCTGTCAAAGTTCAGCCATGTTAAGGACATTCAAGGAGAAGCTGGAGAACTTCCGGTATTGGGAGAAAACTGGACTCTAGTCTAGCCTGAGTGTCCTTCCCTGTCTGAAGATTCGAGTATTGCTTCTCAAGGCCAACAGGAATCCCAGCTCCCACATCCCTAAAACACCTACCTCAATCTCCAGGTCTTTCTCTTCCACGGTCTTCATGAGCACCATCCGCTCTCGCTTTGGGGTACTCAACAGAGGGGCTCCCTGGCTCCCCTGGGAGGCCAGCAGACGGTCCAAGCTCAGGAGGCGCTCCAGCATGGCCGGGTCCATGCTGCTTAGCTTCTGCAGGGGGCTGAGCAGACAAATAAGTTGCTCTCCACCTACCTCCTCCCTCATCACCTACAGCAGCAGGACTCCCCTCACCACACCTTAACTTGGCATATCCTGTAGCTCCAGAACCTAATGTTAACTTGCTAGGCATCCAATTTCTCTGGGTGCAGTGTCTTCATCAGGTGAAGTGACTGCTCAGGAATGCCAGGAAATCACAGTGCCAGGTATGAGAGATCTAAGACACTGCCTGGAAGTACTGTCTACTGAGGAAATCAAGAGACCATAAGGTGACTGCCAGGGCAATGCCTGACCATTTGGAGGAGCAGTTGGGGAAAACATCACAGAAGATGCCATCTTCAGAAGGGTTTTGAAATCCACTGAAGACCTCAGCTGCCAAGCCTATATCCTGTGGGCAGCAGGGAAGGCCTGTTCAAGCACAGTCCTGACTGACTCTGAGCATGGTAAGGCTTAACATTCTTCTTTTTTTTTTGAGATAGGGTCTTCCTTTGTCACCCAGGCTGGAGTGCAGTGTTGAGATCACAGCTCACTACAGCCTTGGCCCCCCCGGGGCTTAAGCACTCCTCCTGCCTCAGCCTCCTGAGTAGCTGGGTCCACAGGTGCATGCCACCAAGCCCAGCTAATTTTTTTTTTATTTTTTTGTAGAGACGGGATCTTACTATGTTGCTCAGGCTCGTCTTGAACTCCTGGGCTCAAGTGATCCACCCACCCTGGCCTCCCAAAGTGCTGGGATTACAGGTGTGGGCCACCGCGCCCAGTCAGCAATGTCTAACATTAATTTATTTTGCCTGGAATCTTGCCCCACACCTCCTCACATCTGTATCAATGATCTTTCCAGGTCAGTTTGATGCCACCTTTCCCATGACACTCGCATCTCCCTTCCTATGCTGTGAACTGGCTCCTGGAGGACAGGGACACTCCTGTGCTTTCCACACCAGTGCCTTGGAAAAAAAGGATCAGAACATATGTGGGCAAACACTAGAAGTCCTCTCTCTTCCTTCCTGGCTCTCACAGCAGCAGCAGCTACTCCTTCCTGATTCTAAATTCTCCACCTGGTATCACATACTGACGTTCCCATCTAACTTCCTCTCCTGTGAGCCCCCCAAGCTCTGGGTCTGCTGGGTTTGTTGTGCCCACTCTGAGCTTCCCCTTACTCAAGAGTGCCTGTCTGACAGAGAGCTTACCTGTGCACATTTCTGGGTGCACACAGCAGTGGAGAGTGCTGACAGATGGTTTGGGAAAGACAAGACTGAGAGATTGGGTCATGAGTGCACAAGCATCTTCTTGTGTGTGGCATCTTCCTTAACTACAGTAGCCCCCTGGGACAGAGTGGGCACTAACCCTTGGCCTCCTCAGGTCACCTCTGTTTAGTAGTTCACAGGCTTTATTTGGGCTAGGGGTAGAAACAGGGCAAAGTTAAAACTGCAACTGGCTTCTGGGGGTTGGAGGGAACAGCACAAGGGCTAAGTGGCCAGACACAGAAAGCAAGACCTCTGAATAGAGATGACCTGAGGATTAGTACGTACTGGGCCATGAGATGGAGTGATCGGAGTTGGGTCAGGAGGTGACACAAAGGACTTAGAGGCTTTGTCTGGATTGAGGGTAGAAGCAGTTAAGACAGCAGATGGCTCCCCAGAGAGTCGTGGAGAAGCTGGGCACTGACACACAGACCAGGTGGTCTCAGGGGGACAGCTCTTCCAAGTCTCCTTTGCTTTCCTCTCATGGATCTGAAAGATCTGATCCAGATCACTCCTTGAACCAGAGGCAAAAATGCTCATCCTTGAAACAGCTGTCCCAAAGCAAGAAGTTTTGCTGAGGGCTAAAGAGATTGGAAAATGGAAAGGATCCCCAGGAGGAAGCCTCCTTAGGTCCCCAAGGCAGCAGCACTGTGGAGAGATTGATCTTAGACTTTAGTGATTCAATGGAGTAGAATCTGGGGGTAATTTATGTATGTATTTATTTATTGAGACGGAGTCTTGCTCTGTCACCTAGGCTGGAGTATTTAGTGGCTTGATCTCGGCTCACTGCAGCCTCTACCTCCCAGATTCATGCAATTCTCTCTGCCTCAGCCTCCCGAGTAGCTGGGATTACAGGCGCCCACTACCATGCCCGGCTAATTTTTGTATTTTTAGTAGAGACAGGGTTTCGCCATGTTGGCCAGGCTGGTCTTGAACTCCTGACCTCAGGTGATCTGCTTGCCTTGGCCTCCCAAAGTGTTGAGATTACAGGCGTGAGTCACCGTGCCCAGCCGGGGGTGAATTTATTTCTTTACTTTGAGATGGAGTCTTGCTCTGTTGCCCAGGCTGGAGTGCAGTGGCCGCAATCTCAGCTCCCTGCAACCTCAGCTTCCTGGGTTCAAGGGATTCTCCTGCCTCAGCCTCCCGAGTAGCTCGGATTACAGGCACACGCCACCACACCCGACTACTTTTTGTATTTTTTAGTACAGATGGGGTTTCACCACGTTGGCCAGGCTGGTCTCGAACTCCTGACCTCAGGTGATCCACCCAATCTCGGCCTCCCAAAGTGCTGGGATTACAGGAGTGAGCCGCCATACCCGGTCTATGGTGAATTTAATGGGAGAGGAACAAGATCACAGCTGTCTCTGCTCAAGGATCTGACAGGCATTGCAGCTCTGCTGCTAAGCCACACATCAGGAAGGGGATACACCCAAGGCCCACTGCTCACCTGAGTTTCTGGGAGGCAGAGGCTGAAGCTGCCATGGGCTCAGCGCTCCCAATCTCCTCTTCCTCAGGGCCTCGAGCTTTCTTTGCCTCTGGTGGACCAAGCAATTCTTTCTGAGACAGCTTAACAGGTCCCAAGACTAGATGATTGGAGGATGGGGTGGAGAGAGGGATCGGGGGTGGTCAGCCTCTGTGCTGATGCTTGGTGGTTTCAACAAACTCCCTGATTTCCAGACCCAGCATTTCCACTCCTGCCTCCCCTAGTTCTCACCATGAGGCTGCAGGCTCTCATTGGTAAAAGGCCGGTTGATCACCTCCTTGGTCCTGGCAGCAAAGTTGAGTGCAGAGACTGTGTCTAGGTAGAAATGTCTCTCAGGGGCAATGTTGGCAATAAGGATGCTGTGGGCTGAGCCACCCAGAGAGTCCTGAGGGTGGGACCAGGCAGTGGGTGGGTCAAAAGCCCAGCCTTCCTATGCCTCAACCGCTATTCCCCACCCCACAGCAGGCCTGAGAACCTCCTTCTGCAGCCCCTTCTTCCCTGAGACAGGTGGGTCTGACCTGCAATAGGCGAGTGAGCTTGCTGTCCCGATAAGGTACACGAGGGAGGCCCTGATTCAGCGCATCTACCACCTTGCCCAGGACAAACAGGGAGGCGTTGATGGCACCGCTCTCTTTTAGCCGAAGTCCCTTGTTGCCTGTGCGCCGGTTGTCCTCTGACCCAGCCAAGTCAATCAGGTAGAGTTTTCCCTCTCGCTGGCGAAATGGGGCCAAACGTTCCCGCTGGTCCACCTGGGGTAAGAACAAAGATCTCATGCTTAGCTCAGGCTCCTGGGCTTCCCAGGTCCTCGCCCGTCTGTGGCCTCACCTTGACCAGGAGCACAGCATGACTGCGGGAGGAGCGCTGGTTGAGCCGGGTGGCTCCTACAGTCCGATTTCGACTGGCTGGCAGGAAGTGCCGCTCAAAATCAGCAAAGCTAGTGATGGGCTTCTGGGTGAGACCCGGAATCAGGATGTTCCCCCGGCAGTCTTCTCGGATCACCAGGTCTCCCGATGTAGAGTCCAGTAGGTCTAATACCTGTGTAAGCAGTGAAGGGGAAGGGCAATTCTCTATACAGAGGCGGCTGCTTTCTGGGGATCAGTTTCCTTTCTCTGTTCTATTCTCGGAGTTGTACCATCTGCTACCCCAGCCTGTCTTTCTAGGTCTCACCTTACCTCCCTGCTAGAGCAGAGCTTCATTTTCTAGAACCAGGTCTTACTTTGACCCTTTGTTGCTCCTCTCGCAACCAGCACGGGGCCTCACCTTCTCCTGGTAGATCTCTAGGTAGGACATAGTGACAGAAAGGGCCCATGGCCGGCCCTCGGCGCCCTCCTCCCTTGTGAGCTGCAGGAGGTCCATGAGAGCCCGCGGGATCAACCCAGGTTGCTCTGGACTGCCCAGCATTGTGTGCGTCTTCCCTGGGGAGAGAGTGGAGAAAGCTGTGAGATTTTCCTCTCTGGTTCCCCAGCCCTTTCTGACCCATAACTGTTTCTTTTCTGGCTCCCTCACCAGCTCCTGTGGGTCCATAGGCAAGCACGCTGGCATTCTGCCCTTCCAGCAAGTGCCTTAGGATGGGCTGCACTGAACCTGCATAGATGTCCTGCTGAGTACTCCTCTCCCCATAGAAGGCATCAAACCTGCAAGAAGAAAGAAAGAAATTAGTATGTCTGTGTGTATGTAAGGGGTAGAGTGGGATGGGGGTGAGTAAGGGATTCTACTCTCATATGGATCTTGGATTTAAGAGAATGTCTCTATCCACTTTCTTGTACAAAGACCTTAAAAAGCACCCACCTAACACCTACTCCATCCTCATCTCTCTATTGGTGTTAGGAATACAGAGATGGATCTGATATCCTTGCTCTTAGAGTTTTGCAGTCTGGTAGGATAGATATCCACACTGCTGTGGTTTAGGAAACGAAGATAAGAACACACTCTTGAAGGAGTAACTGATTCTGCTCAAGGAAGGAAGATTTTGACCAAAGAAAGAAACTCTAAGAATCAAGAATAACACAAAAGCAAGGCTTCCCAATCTTTTTCACAAGGCCACATGTGTAGAACATTGTATTTTAAACCGTAATGGGGAATATAGAGGATGCTGCTTACGACTGGACTAGACTCCACATACCAATCACATATTCACTGCGTTCTGGTGGAGAAGCTGCAACTTAGGCCACAGCAGGGAGTTTAGTATATGTTGAGGGAATGAGGCTGGAAAGAAACTGAAGCCCAAATTGTTAACGGTCTAGTATGGGAGCTAGCAAACTTCTGTAAAAAGGCAGACTGTACATATTTTAGGCTTTGTGGGCCATGTGTTCCTTTTACAACTACTCAACTCTGCCACTGTAGTCAGAAAGCAGCTATAGACAATATGTAAATAAACGATAAAATTTTATTTACTGAAAATCTTACTCCTGATCAGATTTGACCTGCAGGCCATGGTTTGCCAGCCCCCACCTAGAAAAACAGCCCAAGGAGTTTGAACTTGAAATCCCCAGTAGGATTATAAAGTAGCTGCCCTTGTGAGTTCTGTCCCCATATCTGGGTGGTCTTCTCTGACACTACCCAGCTGCAGCTTGGGTAGGCTGGCTGGCTGGTCTGTGTTCCCCCAACCCTCCCCCTGTGTCCCATAGCCTCTACGTGGGGCTCACCTGCTCACCTTCATTGCTACTCCCTCTCTGTGCACAGTAACATATGTCTGATTTAACCTCTCATCTCTCCCTACAGTATCCCAGAGAGGGTCCATCACGGGGGTCACCTGTGAACATTTCCTAGTGAACAGTGAAGGCTCAGGGAACAAAGCGGTGTTAAGGAGGGAGCAAGGATCCTGGGGAGGCAGGTCGGAGAAACTCTCTGGGGAAGTGATAACATGGGCAGGCCTAGGAGAGGGAGGTGATGGCATGAGGGAAGAGGAGTGGCCTGAACCTTACTGGTATTTGAGAGTCTCCTGGTGGTTCCTCCAGTTAGCAATCTCTAGAGAGCAGCTATCCATGCCCCGCACACAGGGGGGATCGCTTGCTCCAGCTGTTCCATCCACAAATGGCCGCAGTCGCACAGCCACCCTTACGCGAGCTGGAGGTGGACGACGACTAGCCCCAATCTTGCTTAGCCGACAGCGACCAGCTCCTGGAGGAGAGAAAATCACTTTTAGGCATGAAGTATGGTGGTGGCAGAAGAAGCAGGGACCAACTTTGCTGGGCAGGCTGGGGGCCACAGCTCATGTTAGAGAAGTTCATTCTGCCCTGGTCTTGTTATGGACACCCCTAAGCTTGGCCTCAGTGCCTTCCCTGCTCTACAAGCAAGTCCAGCGGGGTGTATAGCAGGCTTCTCAGACAAAATAACCTGGAGGATCTTGTGAAAACATGGATTTGGTCTCAGTCTCCCTGGGGTGACGCCCAAGATTTTGCATTTCTCACAAGCTCCCAGGTGATGCTGGGCACTTAAAAAAAAAAAAAAAAAAAAAAAAGAGGGAGAGAGGGATGGAATCTCACTAGGTTACCCAGGCTTGTCTTCAACTCCTGGGCTCCAGCGATCCTCCTACCTCAGCCTCCCAAAGTGCTGGAATTATAGGCAGGAGCCACCATGCCTGCCCCAGGACATGTTTTGAATTGCCAAGGGTGAAGTAGACCAGCACCTCACAGGGTTGTTCTAAGGATTAAAAGGGTTGACATCTGACCGAAACCTAAACCAGACAGCGAATTGCCAGACTTTTCTGTGCTTTTTTTTTTTGAGACAGTCTTGTTCTGTCACCCAGGCTGGAGTGCAGTAGCATGATCTCAGCTCACTGCAACTTCCACCTCCCAGGTTCAAGCGATCCTCCTACCTCAGCCTCTCGAGTAGATGGGATTACAAGTGCCCAACACCACTCCTGGCTAGTTTTTGTATCTTTGGTAGAAACAGGGTTTCACCATGTTGGCCAGGCTGGTCTCAAATTCCTGACCTCAAGTGATCTGCCCGCCTTGGCCTCCCAAAGTGCTGGGATTACAGGTATGAGCTACCCCACCCAGCCTGTGTACCTCCATTTCTTAACTGGGGTTTCTAATATGTATTGAGATGTATGTACAATCACAGACCCACCCCCCTTGCAAACTGTTAACAATGATCTTTCTCGTTAACATGGGGAATTATGTGGGTTCTGCAAAAACCACCGACATGCAATTCTTCTCTCATGTAAACTTATCCCTGAATTTGCTTCAGATGATTAAATCAAGTCTTTTTTTTGTAAAGAATTGGCAACTGAATTATTTTGTATCATCGGAAAACACAATGAAGATAAAACTTAAAAAAAGAAAAGGCCTCTCTTTTTGTGGGGGTTAAGTGAGTTGAAAACATCTAAGGAGAGTATTACTCTATTTTACGTTGGAGGATAACATACTGTAGCTCATAGTGGAATTCAAACCTAGATCTCTTCCCCTCTAAAACTCTTTTAATAGGATGCTGTATTGCTTCCCTATTATGTACTAACTGGGAAAGCTCCTGGCAGCTCTCTCCCTTCCTTGCTGGTGGTAGCAGCTGGTTGCTAGGAGCCATAGGCCTCGCAGAAGGCAAAAGGCTGGCTGGTATATGTAGCCAACACAGAAACAGCAAGACGAAAAGGCAGATAGATGACACCTAGAAAGAATCTTATGCCTAGGCCGGGCACGGTGGCTCACGCCTGTAATCCCAGCACTTTGGGAGGCCAAGGCAGGCAGATCAGATCACGAGGTCAGGAGATCGAGACCATCCTGGCTAACACGATGAAACCCCATCTCTACTAAAATACAAAAAATTAGCCAGGAGTGGTTGCAGGCGCATGTAGTCCCAGCTACTCGGGAGGCTGAGGCAGGAGAATGGCCTGAATCCAGGAGGTGGAGCTTGCAATGAGCCGAGATTGCGCCACTGCACTCCAGCCTGGGCGACAGAGCGAGACTTCGTCTCAAAAAAAAAAGAAAGAATCTTACATCTAAGTAAGGCAGGCATGCCCATAAGCAGATGGCCTGTTTCAAATATTGAACCTCCATTCCATCATCTGATAAATGGGGCTACTAATACCATTTCTCACGTTATGGTAGCAAAGCGCTTGGACATGTAGTTCTCATTTGTTCCTCATGGTAATCCTGAAAGTCAGGTAAAAACCTGCAGATGCATGTGTGCAGACAGAAAATTACGGTGCACTGACTTGTCAAAAATGTGTGCAGAACCCTCCTCTGCCTGCTTTCACAGGAGAGCAGAAAGAACAGAAAGATGGCAGATGTAGAGGCACTTAAGGAAGTGCAGTGATCAATCTAAGGGAAAGGGGAAGTCAGTGATGAGGTAGAGTGTAGACGCTGGTCAGACAGAACTGGACTTCAATTCCAGCTCTGACATTTATTAGTTTGTGACCTTGGACCTTAGGTTTCCTTGTCTGTAAAATAAGGTTGGGGGTGGGCCTTGGGTTTTTTGAGAATTTGGCCTGGCGTGGTGGTTCAAGCCTGTAATCCCAGCACTTTGGGAGGCCAAGGTGGGCGGATCACCTGAGGTCAGGAGTTTGAGATCAGCCTGGTGGTGAAACCCTGGCTCTACTAAAAGTACAAAAATTAGTCAGGTATGGTGGTATGCACCTGTAATCACAGCTACTTGGGAGGCTGAGGCACAAGAATTGCTTGAATGCGGAAGGTGGAGGTTGCAGTGAGCAGAGATCGTGCCATTGCACTCCAGCCTGGGTGACAGAGCAAGACTGTGTCTCAAAAAAAAAAAAAAAAAAAGATAATTAAAATAAGTGCCAGGTAAAGTGGCAGCACAGTGACTAGCACATAGTAGGTAGGTTCATTATTCAAGGTAAAATGGCCTGGGTTGAAATCCCAGCTCTGCCATTTACAGCTAGCTAAGTAACCTAGGGAAATTATTTTCCATCCCAGTGCCTCAATTTCCTTGCCTGCAAAATGGGAATAAAAATACCTCCTTGGTAGGTTGTTAGGACAGTAATTAAGGTGATTCATGTAAAAGTGCTTTGAACATTATCTGTTATTTGGTAAAAGGCCAGTAAGTGCTTTTTAATGTCTATCTCCCATTTTCCAGATGAGGAAACCTCAGTATAGAGGGGTTAGCTGACTGGCCCAGGGTCAACAGCTAGTGAGTGACAGCTTCAAATGAAGATCTAACTCCAGTGTGCTTTATATGAACCCTCCTCAGGCTCATCAGCCCCTTCACCTTTGCATCTCATAGGAATGTGAGGATTCAAAGTAATAATGTACATACAATGTTTAGCACAGTGCCTGGCAGCAACTGCTCAGTCCCTAGCTGTTATTATTACACCCTTTCTCTTGCTACTCACTCCTCCATCCCTGCAACTTGCTTCTGCCCTCACCATTCAGCAGGGTCACCCATGACCTCCCTAATGCTAGATCCAGTAGGCGTACTCAGCCTCAATCCTGTTGGACCTCCCAGAAGTATGCAACACTCTTGGGAAACACACTTTTCCCTTCATTTCCATGCCCCCCACCTTCCTGGTTGTCTTACCCAGTTCTCTGTTCACTCCTCAGTTCTACCAGTCTCCAGTGCTTTTCCTAGGATCTGTCTATCCTTTCTCTAGACCAGCGTTTCTCAACTTCAGCACTACTCACATTTTGGGCTGGCTAATTCCTGTTGTGGGGCTGTCCCGTGCATTTAGACTGTTAGCACAGGCTTACTAGATGCCAGTAGCATTCTCCACCCTCACCCTCAAGTTGTAACAACTAAAATCTCTCCAGACGTCTCCAAATGTCCTGTGAGGGACAAAGTTGCCCCCAGCTGAGACCACTCAGTAGGCAGGTCACCTGTCCTCTTGGCTTCAGTAACATCTTACAGCCGATAAGTACTATTGTACGTTCTGCACAAGAGCGCTCTACTACAGACCCACGTTCTGAATGGCTGCCCTGACAGCTCCTTTTTTTTTTTTTTGAGACGGAGTCTCACTTTGTCGCCAGGCTGGAGTGCAGTGGCGCTCTTGGCTCACTGCAATCTCCTGCCTCAGTCTCCCGAATAGCTGGGACTACAGGTGCGTATGCCACCACACCCAGCTAATTTTTGATTAATTTTAGAGATGGGGTTTCACCATGTTGGCCAAGATGGTCTCGATCTCTTGATCCTCCCGCCTTGGTCTCCCAAAGTGCTGGGATGCTGGGATTATAGGCGTGAGCCTGGCAGACGGCTCCTCTTAAACTCCACCTGTCCTAAACTGAACCCTCCCTTCCCCATCTCTCTGCAGCCTCCTCCTTTGATCTGATGTAAATGAATGGCACCAACCCCAAAAGTGGGAGTCTTTAACTCCAACGACTCTTACCTCCCACATCAGTTCATCATTAACATCTGTCAAGTCTATTTCTTTAAATCTCTCTTGAACAAGTCCACTTCTTTCCACTCCCACTGCACTACCTCTGCCCAAGGTCATGGTCTTTACAGCCTTCCTTGCTGATGGTAGCAAGGTGTCTCCCTGCCCTCTAGTCATTCCCTCTGTTTCCTTCCTTGTAGTGTAAGTTACCAGTCATGATGAATTTCCTTCACTTCCTACAAAACTCTAAGTTCTCTTGCACCTTTGGGTTTTTGTCCACGTTAATCTCTCTCCCTAGAATATCTGCACTGCTCCCCAACCCACCCTGGAGTGACTGAGGTAAACACATCTTAATTCCTCTTAAAAAACAAAACCAAAAACCCTTTCCTGGTAGACACTAAGGCTTTATCAGGTGCACCCACAGCTCTTGTTAGCCCCTCCATAAGCATTTGTCACGCCCCACTATTGCGTGTTTGTCACTTTCTCCACCTGACTGCCAACTGTGAGAACAAGTTTTATCCTGCTCACCTTTCTAACCCCAACACCTGGCGCGGAGTAGGCCCTCAGGAAGTATTTGCTGAAAAAAATTAAGATGTAGTGAATAAACTTCTACTCACTGGCTTGTTCATTTCCATCATGAAAGTGGCTCACTGCCATTCCTGCCCCAGAGCTCACAGTCCAGGGGAGGAGGGAAGAGAGAGGGCCACATGTAAACAATTATTTACAGCACAAGAGTCTAGCCCTTTCATGATAAAAGCAACCTGGAGCTTGGACCAGACTAGCAATTATTATTAATTTTCCCTTCTTCTACAATTCCTAAATTTCACTCACTCTTCTTCCTTCTCTTCATGAGGAAATTGAGCATCTTTGGCCTCTTTTACATCATAAATAAAACAACACTTGCTGTTCTTGTCTTCTTAGTCAAAGCCTGGCAAACTCCTATCCAACCTTTGAAACCCATCTCAAGTATCACTCCCTGAATGAAGTCCTCCCCAGAATACCCAAGGGTTTACTTCAGATTCCACACACTCAGTGTATACACATCTCTCATTGTGTTTCATATTACATCTGCGTATGTGACACTCTATTCAAACAGATTTTAAGTTCCTCGAGGAAGGGACATTATATTCAGGCATTTTCATATCTACCATGCACCGGACACAGTGCATCAGGGTAAGGGGAGACTCTGCTCAGCCAGCAGGGACAGCATGTACTTGGGCATAATGAAGAGCAGAGGCTCTACACTCTGACTCCTTGAGAGCGAATTCAGGCCCCAATATTTACTAGTTGCGTTAAATCTGAACAAACTAACCTCAGTTTCCTGTATAAAACGAAGACAGTAATAGTAACAACCTCATAGCATTGTGTGGACAATAAATGGTTCACCACCATAAAATGCCTACAACTGTGCCTGGCACATAGCAAGAGCTCTACATGTTAGGCATTCTCCTAAATGTCTGTTTCCCCACGAGGCTAACGAGGGCTCCAATGAATTACTATGGCGTCCACCATCATCACTAACAAGGACTAAGTCTCCGGGTTAGACAGGCACATGTAAACAAATACATACAAGATTCTGGGTGTCCTAACAGCCTTTCTAACCCTAAAATAGCATTCACTTCCATGCTGGAGTGAAAGGAAACTTCAGTCTTTTATTTCGTTTTATTGTAATCGCAGAGTATCTTACGCTGTCAACTCAAACCCAGCAGCAGCCGGGTCTGATCCTCAATCCGCCCTCCTGCATCTCTCAGGGATGTCTCTGCACCCAAACACCATGTCCCACACAGAACCCTTCCCAAAACACGCCTCCGGCTCCCTTCTCGTCCTCGTGGCTAGAGCGTCCGCCACTCTTCTCTCGCTTATTCAGGTCATCTCCAGGGACGAGGCCATGATCCCCATTTCACAGAGGAAGAAACCGAAGCTCACAAAGTGCGCGGGGTTCAAGCCAAGAGCCTGGGCCGCAGACCCGAGTCTACTGACCCAAGGAGAGAGCAGGAAACAGGGAGAAGGCTGGAGTCAGGCTGGCCGACCAACTCGCGACCCCACACTCTCACCGTCCCCCCTCTCCCCGCCTCTGCGCTGTGGCCGCCTCTCCGCGACAACCCGCGGAACCTGGACCACACTCCGACGCATGACTCCCACTAAGCTCCAGACGTCGGTGCCCGCCTTGCCCACGCCGGGCTCAAGTACCTGAGGTAGCCGCCGCTGCCGCTGCCGCCATCTCGCGCTGCCTCAGCTGCGTCGAGACCCCCGCCGACATTCCCCTCCCTCCTTGGGCCCGCCTCTCCCATTCGAATTCCCCGTTGCCCCGCCCCCTCTCCCAGGCTCCACCAATCACGACTACGCGCCGCCGGAAACTCCTGCGGGTGGCTCGCCACTATCCCGCCCTCCAGCGCTCGCCTCCGGGTCCCCAAGAAAAGGTTCCCCTGGTCAGGACGCATGCGCGCGCGTGTGCCGCGCAACCGTTGACCTCTGGAAGCGCGCTGCGGTTCAAACCCCTACGCGGTGATGTTGACGACGGTGGCCGCTGGGGGAGCTGCTCAGCGCCGCCCGGCACTGGGCTCCCTTTCGTTTCATTTTCTGCAGTTTCTTGCCTCCGTGGGTGGTTGGCGCGTCTGCGGAGACAGAGTCGTTGTGTGGATCGTGGGACTGCAGCCCCAGCTAAAGGGCTGTCACGTCTGGTCGGTTCTGTAGATCTGGGCCCCAGGGGCTGGACTGTGGGTAGTCACGTTGCACTCGCTGCCTGCTGGGCCCAAGGCCACTGTAGGTCCCTTCGCGTCCATGTCAGCCCACGAGAGCAGCTTGGATGTTCCTGTCTTTATAACTTGGGACTCAGCACGTCGGCGAAGCGTGGAAAACGCTTGTTCTGTGATTCAGTCCCACTCACCCGCGGTTCCGGTTCCCAGTCTTTAAGGGTTCAGCGGTCCATTGAGTAGCTCTCTGTCCTTTGTGAAAGGTTGGCTAGGTACCGTCATTCCACTTTTGAGCACCAGGTAGGTAGGGCCCAGGTTTAGATATTATGTTCCACCCTACTGAACAATAAAACAAAACCCAGGCCGGGCTTGGTGGCTCAGTCCTGTAATCCCAGCACTTTGGGAGGCTGAGGCGGGAGGATCACTGAGGTGAGGAGCTCGAGACCAGTCTGGCCAACATGGCGAAACCCCATCTCTACTAAAAACACAAAAATTAGCCGGGGGTGGTGTCGCACCTGTAATCCCAGCTACTCGGGAGGCTGAGGCAGGAGAATCGCTTGAACCTGGGAGATGTAGGTTGCAGTGAGCTGAGATGGTGCCACTGCACACCCCGTCTCAAAACAAAAAACACAAATCTTAGTGTTTCTGAAACGTTTTGCCTTGGGATCCCACTACAGTTTTTAAAAATGAGGCCTCTAAAGATGTTTTGTGTATATGAGGGCTTTTATTTTTTTGTTTTTGAGATAGGATTTCACTTCCATCTCCCAGGCTAGAGTGCAGTGGCTCAATCTCGGTTCACTCCAACCTCTGCTTCTTGGGTTCAAATGATTCTCCTGCCTCAGCCTCCCGAGTAGCTGGGATTACAGGCATGCAGCAACACGCTCAGCTAATTTTTGTATTTTTATGGAGATAGGGTTTTACCATGTTGGCCAGGCTGGTCTCAAACTCCTGACCTCAAGTGATCCACCAGCTTTGGCCTCCCAAAGTGCTGGGAGTACAGGTGTGAACCACCGGGCCTGACCATATATACTGTATGTGAAATGAAACCGAATTAAAGTGACATTAATGAATTTAAAAATTACAGTAACAAACCCATAGACACAAAACGTCCATCTAAGTAGTGGTTGCCAGGCGATGGTGAAGGGCTGAGGAATTGGCACTACAGCAATAGATATAATTATCGGGGGAATCCCACCCCCTATATTCAACGTGGGTCCTTTTCTATTTTCCCTAAGTGTCAACTGGTCTGAGAAATAAAGGGAAAGAGTACAAAAAAGAGAAATTTTAAAGCTGGGTGTCCAGGGGAGACACCATAAATCAACAGGTTCTGTGATGCCCCCCAAGTCGCAAAACCAGCAAGTTTTTATTAGTGATTTTCAAAAGGGGAGGGAGTGTACGAATAGGATGTGGGTCACAGAGATCACATGCTTCACAAGGTAATAAAATATCACAAGGCTAATGGAGACGGTGAGATCACAGGACCCGGCAAAATTAAAATTGCTAATGAAGTTTTGGGCACGCATTGTCATTGATAACATCAGGAGACAGGGTTTGAGAGCAGACAACCGTCTGACCAAAATTTATTAGGCGGGAATTTCCTCATCCTAATAAGCCTGGGAGTGCTATGGGAGACCAGGGCTTATTTCATCTCTTACCTATAACCGTAAAAGACAGATGTTCCCAAAGCGGCCATTGTAGAGGCCTCCCCTTAAGAACGCATTCTCTTTCTCAGGGATGTTCCTTGCTGAGAAAAAGAATTCAACAGTATTTCTCCTATTTGCTTTTGAAAGAAGAGAAATATGACTCTGTTCCACATGGCCCACAGGCAGCCAGACTTTAAGGTTATCTCCCTTGTTCCCTGAACCTTGCTGTTATCCTGTTCTTTTTTCAAGGTGCCGAGATTTCATATTGTTTAAACAATTTGTGCAGTTAACCCAATCATCACAGGGCCCTGAGGTGACATTCATCCTCAGCTTATGAACATGACAAGATTAAGAGATTAAAGTAAAGACAGGCAGCCGGGCTCACACCTGTAATCCCAGCACTTTGGGAGGCCGAGGCGGGCGGATCATGAGGTCAGGAGATCGAGACCATCCTGGCTAACACGGTGAAACCCCGTCTCTACTAAAAACACAAAAAATTAGCCGGGAGTGGTGGTGCGCACCTGTAGTCCCAGCTACTCGGAGGCTGAGAGCCAAGATCGCGCCACTGCACTCCAGCCTGTGCGACAAAGCGAGACTCCGTCTCAAAAAATAAATAAATAAATAAATGATAAAGTAAAAACAGGCATAGGAAACCACAAGGGTATTGATCGGGGAAGTGATAAGTGTCCATGAAATCTTCACAATTTACGTTCTTCTGCCATGGCTTCAGCTGGTCCCTCCGTTCGGGGTCCCTGACTTCCCACAACATATAATGAGTTTCTTTTGGGGGTGATGGAAATGTTAAATATTTTGGAATGAAGTAGTGATGATGGCTGCGTAACGTAGTAAACATACTAAAAACCAGAGAGGTATGCACTTTTTTTTTTTTTGGAGACATAGTCTCTGTTGCTTAGGCTGGAGTGCAGTGGCACAATCTCTCGGCTCACTGTAACCTCCGCCTCCCAGGTTCAAGCGATTCTCCTGCCTCAGCGTCACGAGTAGCTGGGATTATAGGCATGCACCACCGTGCACAGCTAACTTTGTATTTTTAGTAGAGATAGGGTTTCTCCATGTTGGTCAGGCTGGTCTCGAACTCCTGACCTCAGGTGATCCACCCGCCTTGGCCTCCCACAGTGCTGAGATTACAGGTGTGAGCTACCAAGCCCTGCCTAGACCTCCATCTCTTTTTTTTTTGAGACGGAGTCTCTCTCTGTCGCCCAGGCTGGAGTGCAGTGGCTTGATCTTGGCTCACTGCAAGCTCCGCCTCCTGGGTTCACGCCATTCTCCTGCCTCAGCCTCCCGAGCAGCTGGGACTACAGGTGCCCGCCACCATGCCCAGCTAATTTTTTGTATTTTTAGTGGAAATGGGGTTTCACCATGTTAGCCAGGATGGTCTCGATCTCCTGACCTCATGATCCGCCCGCCTCGGCCTCCCAAAGTGCTGGGATTACAGGCGTGAGCCACTGTGCCCAGCCTACCTCCATCTCTTAAAAAAAAAAATTAACCAGGCGTGGTGGAACACACCTATGGTCCCAGCTACTTGGGAGGCTGAGGTGGGAGGATTGCTTAAGCCCAGGAGGTTGAGGCTGCAGTGAGCCGTGATGGTGCCACTGCACTCTGGCCTGAGTGACAGAGGGAGACCTTGTCTCAAAGACAAATAATAAAACTAGATTCTCATATCTGCTTCTGCATTCATGCGGTTGTGATGTCACATACAATATAGTATTTTGAAAACTCCACTATATACTTGAGAAACAATGCAAGATAAGTCAAATGGTATCTTAGTTTTATTATGAAAATAATTTTGAACTTGCAGACCCACTGAAAGTGTCTCAGGGACTCCCAGAAGTCTCTGGACCATACTTTGAGAACCTCTGGCATCGGCAATTGGCAGTTTGGTCTTCCTTGTCCGTCAGAAAAGGCTGTTCAGTTTTCACGTTTGTTGCTAACTCCAGATATTTTATAAGAAACCTGCCAGAAATAGTGAAAAGAGCATAGATCAAGGAGATAGGGCTTCTGTTTGAATAAATCATTCAGTTACAGGGTCTTGGTGCCAGGCCACCCAGACCAAAGATTTAGCCTCTTTGTGCATCCATTTCCTCAGATATTAAAAGGGAATAATGGTTGAAATACCTCCTAGGGTTGTTTTAAGGATCTGCATCTGGCTGGTAGAAATTAGAGTGGTTTGGCCAGGCGTGGTGGCTCACACCTGTAATCTCAACACTTTGGGAGGCTGAGGTGGGCAGATCATTTGAGGTCAGGAGTTCAAGACCAGCCTGGCCAACATGGGGAAACGATGTCTCTACTAAAAATACAAAAATTAAGGCTGGGAGCAGTGGCTCACATCTGTAATCGCAGCACTTTTGGAGGCCGAGGTGATCCACCTAAGGTCAGGAGTGTAAGACCAGCCTGGTCAACATGGTGAAACCCTGTCTCTAGTAAAAATACAGAAATTAGCCAGGCATGGTGTTGCAAACCTGTAATCCCAGCTACACGAGAGTCTGAGGCAAGAGAATGGCTTGAACCTGAGAGGTGGAGGTTGCAGTGAGCTGAGGTGGTGCTGTTGCTCTCCAGCCTGGGCAACTGAGCGAGACTTTGTCTGAAAATAAAATTTAAAAAAATTAATTGCCAGATGATTTATATTGATTCCTAGAAGCGAGACAGCATTTGCTGGGCACGATGGCTCATGCCTGTAATCCCAGCACTTTGGGAGGCCGAGGTGGGCAGATCGCTTGAGCTCAGGAGTTTGAGACCAGCCTGACCAAGATGGCAAAACCCCGTCTCTACTAAAAATACAGAAAACTATCTGGGTGCTGTGGCGGGCACCTGTAATCCCAGCTACTCAGAAGACTGAGGCAGGAGAATGACTTGAACCTGGGAGGTAGAGGTTGCAGTGAGCTGAGATTGCACCACTGCACTCCAGCCTGGGCAAAAGAGCAAGACTCTGTCTCAAAAAAAAAAAAAAGGATTGGGTGAGGTGGCTCACACCTGTAATCCCAGCACTTTGGGAGGCTAAGGCGGGCGGATCACGTGAAGTCAGGAGTTTGAGACCAGCTTGACCAACATGGCAAAACCCCATCTCTACTAAAAATACAAAAATTACCCAGGCATGGTGGCGCATGCCTGTAATCCCAGCTATTCAGGAGGCTGAGGCAGGAGAATTGCTTGAACCCAGGAGTTGGAGGTTGTAGTGAGCTGGGATTGCACCACTGCACTCCAGCCTGGGGACAGAGCAAGACTTCATCTGAAAGAAAAAAAAAAATTAGATGTGATGGCGTGTGCCTATAGTCCCAGCTACTTGGGAGGCTGAGGCAGGAGGATCACTTGAACCCAGGAAGTGCAAGTTGCAGTGAGCTGAGATCATGCCTGTGCACTCCAGCTTGGATGACAGAGAAAGAAACAATTGATTTTTAAAAAACAACTTCCAGGCCAGGTACAGTGGCTCACACCTGTAATCTCAGCATTTTGGGAGGCTGAGGCAGGCAGATTATGAGATCAGGAGATTGAGACCATCCTGGCTAATACGGTGAAACCCCGTCTCTACGAAAAATACAAAAAATTAGCCGGGCATGGTGGCGGGTGCCTGTATTCCCAGCTACTCGGGAGGCTGAGGCAGGAGAATTGCTTGAATCTGGGAGGCGGAGGTTGCAGTGAGCCGAGATCGTGCCACTGCACTCCAGCCTGGGCAACAGTGTGAGACTCCATCTCAAAAAAAAAAAAAAAAAAAAAATGAGGCTTGTGAAGATGCTTCGTATATATGGGTTTTGATTCATATTTACTATATTCAAAATGAAATCAAAGTAACATCAATTAACTTTCAAATTACAATAACAAACCCACAGACATAGACAGTACACCTGAGTGGTGGTTGCCAGGGCATGATGAGGGGTTGAGTAATTGGCACTACAGTGAACAGATGTAACCGCCTTCTTTTGGGGGTGATGGAAATGTTCTGGAATGAGGTAGTGGTAGTGGTTATACAACACAGTGAATATACTAAAAACCATGAAAGTGTACACTTTTAAAATGGCATTTTTTTTTATATCTTATTAGAGACAAGCTCTCACTGTGTCACCCAGGTTGAAGTGCTCTGGTACAATCATAGCTCATGGCAACCTCAAACTCCAAAGTTCAAGTAATCCTCCTGCCTTGGCCTCTGGAAGTGTTGGGATTACAGCCGTAAGCCATGGTGTTGGGTATCGGGGGAACCAGCCCCCAATATTTCAATGTAGGTTCTATTTTGCCTAAGTGTTGGCCGGTCTGAGAAATAAAGAGAAAGCGTACAAAGAGAGGAGTTTTACAGCTGGGCCGAGGGGGGTGACATCACATATCGGTAGGTCCGTAATGCCCCACCTGAGCCGCAAAGCCAGCAAGTTTTTTTTAAGGATTTCAAAAGGGGAGGGAGTGTACGAACAGGGAGTAGAGTCACAAAGATCACAAGGCAAAGGGCAAAATTAGAATTACTGATGAGGGTCTATGTTCAGCTGTGCACATATTGTCTTAATAAACATCCTAACAGAAAACAGGGTTTGAGAGCAGAGAACTGGTGTGACCAAAATTTACTAGGCTGGAATTTCCCAATCCTAGTAAGCCTGAGGGTACTGCAGGAGACCAGGGCATATTTCAGTCCTTATCTCAACTGCATAAGACAGACGTTCCCAGAAGGGCCATTTGTAGACCTCCCCCGAGGAATGCAATTCTTTTCCCAGGGTCTTAATATTTAATATTCCTTCCTAGGAGAAGAATTTAGTGATATCTCTCCTACTTGCACGTCCATTTATAGGCTCTCTGCAAGAAGAAAATGATGGCTCTTTTTGCTCGGCCCTGCAGGCAGTCAGATCTTATGGTTATCTTCCCTTGTTCCCTGAAATCACTGTTATTCTGTTCTTTTTTAAGGTATACTGATTTCATATTGTTCAAACACACGTGTTTTACAATCAATTTGTACAGTTAATGCAATCATCACAGGGTCCTGAGGTGATGTAAATTCTCAGCTTATGAAGATAACAGGATTGAGATTAAAATAAAGACAGGCATAAGAAATTATGAGAGTATTATTTGGGAACTGATACATGTCCGTGAAATCTTCACAATTTATGTTCAGAGATTGCAGTAAAGAGAGGTGTAAGAAGTTATAAAAGTATTAATTTTGGGAACTGATAAATGTCCATGAAATCTTCACAATTTATGTTCCTCTGCTGTGGCTCTAGCCAGTCCCTCTGTTCAGGGTCCCTGACTTCCCGCAACAGTTGGGCCACCATATCAGTTTATAGAACCAATTGGATGGAGATTCATGGTAAGGGAATCCTCCCTCCTCACCACAGTGCCCCTGCCAAAGAAGAAGCTGGGGCTCTGCAGCTGCTGAAGTCACTGGATAGGCTGGGATACACAGTCCCAATGCAAGCCAATGGCATTGATTAGGGAATCACTGATGAATCAGAGCATGATGCTGTGTTGCGAGACGCCAGCATTGACAATCGTCTTTCCCAAAGGGAGTTAGCAGCCCTTATCCCTTAAAAAGACCAGAGTCTCAGGTGGGACTTGAACTTTTCAGGAACTACATACACCCTGAGACCTTCCAAGTGGTGACAGGGATGACAGATTTCTTGCCAGTCCCCCTGCACATGAAGGCTGATTGAACCCTAGAAGATCCCACAGGGAACTTCAACTCCTCATTTTGCCTACAAACAGTTTGCTGTGTTGCCCAGGCTAGTCTTGAACTCCTGGGCTCAAGCGACCCTCCCGACTTGAGCCCCAAAGTCTTGGGATTACAGGCGTGAGCCCCCTTGCCCAACCACCGTATCCTTTTCTTGAGTCAACTGCATGGAGGTTAATGATAGAGAAGTGCTCATTCCCCACCACAGGGCTCCTGCCAGAGAGGAGGCTAGGGCTCCGCAGCGGCTGCAATCACTGGGGCGGACATATTGCTAGCCCCGTATTGGCAGTGATGAGGGATCCAGCACCGTAACTGATGAGTTAAAGGACAGCATTGGGGTGCAACAGGGTGGCACTAAAACTGGTGCCTGTGTTTCCCAAGAGGCAGAGCAGATCTTGTCTGTCACAAAGACCAGCTTCCTCAGGTAGTGTGTGAACCTGCCTCATCTGACGCCCAACATGATGGGTGATCCTTTTACCTGACCTTGGTCTACAGACTCTGCCACTCCTTGCTGTTGTCTACTGATTCTCCACCTAGTCCTCCAAGGTGTTATCAGGTGTGACGCTTAATTTAGGTGTCAGCTTGGTTCCATTTCGTTAGGATATGACATATGTGACTCCATTCTGATACTGATAACATTCTTTTTTTTAATTTTTTTTTTTTTTTTGGATGGAGTCTTGCTCTGTCATCCAGGCTGGAGTGCAGTCGCGCTATCTCAACTCATTGTAACCTCTGCCTCCAGCGTTCAAGTGATTCTCATGCCTCAGCCTCCCAAGTAGCTGGTATTACAGGCATGGGCCACCACACCTGGCTAATTTTTGTATTTTTAGTAGAGACAGGGTTTTACCATGTTGGAGGCTGGTCTCCAACTCCTGACTTCAAATGATCCGCCTGCCTTGGCCTCCGAAAGTGCTGGGATTACAGATGTGAGCCACTGTGCCCGGCCATATACTGATAACTTTCACAAAACTAACACATACCTTCACTCATTTTAATTTTCTTCCCTTCTTAAAATTTCTTTCCCCAACTGCATAAACCATCCTCTTCCATCTCTTTTGAGACCTCATCAGTGATCTCCTTTCAGAATCTCTAGCCTCTTTCTCTTTCTTCCTCTTTATCATGTGAACATGCTCGTGACTCTCCTGTCTAGGATTTTAAAAAGACACAAAACCCTTTTTCCTTACACCCCCGATAACTGACTTGCCTATTTCTGGCAAACCAGAGCCAAACTTCTTGAAACACTCAATTCCTGCTGCCTGTGTTTTCTTACCTCCCATTCATTCCTTAACGAGTTCAGCCTAGTGTCAGCCTCCCCCAGTCCACTGTAACCTTCTGATGTCTAAAGCCTAAGAGCATATTGTGGGCAGGGTTTCCACTGTTGAGAAGGTGGTGGCTTCCTGAGGAAGGAGGAATCCCAGATCTGAGAGGGCTTAGCAGGACACTGGGGCTCATGGGTAGAGGTGAGGAGGAACTGGGCCTGCCAACAGGGCAGGGTCCTCGGGCACAGACTTCAGCTAAGTTTCAGGAGTTAGGTGGGTTCCAGGAAAGAACAAAGGCTAATGGTCCTGGCCACCCACACACAGCAAGTGAGTTCAGCACTTTCTCAAGGGGAGGACCAGGGGTGAGGAGAGCTGGAGAGTGGGACATCTGCGGTTTTGGTATAAGCCACAACTAGGCCTTCCCCTTAGACCCAGGACTCCAGTTTGGATCAATGTTCTAAGGAGCTGTCCTTGAAGAGCGTTGATGGAAGCCAGAATCTCATCTCCTCTTGATAAATCATAGTACAAGCCCAGAATTCTCACACACCTCTCCCTCATCTTCCCACTCTTCCAGACAGATGTCCAAAGCCAGCCAGAAGTGAGATTTGCATGTCCCTGGCTGAGTCAGGAGGCAGATATCCCAGCCACATATGCCCCCACACACACTAGCCTTAACCATATTTTTTTATTGAGCCATTTGGATGGGGGTTAGTGATAAAAGAGTTCTTACTCCTCATCACAGTGTCCCTGCCAAGGAGAGGGGACTCAGCAGCTGCTGCAGATACTGGGGTAAACATCCCAGTGCAGGCCAATGGCATCAATGACGGAACCAGACCGGCCACTGATGAAGCGGAGCACGGTGTTGGGGTGCAAGGGGACAGCATTGAAACTTGTGCCGCTGTCTTTCCCAAAAGCCAGATAGCGGCCCTTGTCTGTCACAAAGACCACCTTCTTCAGGTACCCCTTGTACTTCCCGGAAACCTGGATCACTGATTCCCCAGGGTGCAGAAAGATCTCCTCCAGGTCTCCACTGCGGCCACCCACATAGTCACTCCACACCCTGCCATAGCGCACCTGGAGACTGAGAAAGAGGGGAGGAGGAAGGAGAAAGAAGGGTGATGACAGGGATGACAAGTCTCCTGCTAGTCCTACAGACTGTGAAGCCTGGGTGAGCCCTGGAAGATCCTACAGGGAAGTTCAATTATTTTGCCAGCAAAGAGACTCTGTCATCCAGGCAGGAGTGCAGTGGCACGATCTTGGCTCACTACAGCCTCAACATCCTGGGCTCAGGCAATCCTCCCGCCTCTCCCTCCTGAGTAGTTGATGCTACAGGTGCTCACCACCATGCCCGGCTAATTTTTGTTTTTGTTTTTGTTTTTGTTTGGTAGAGATACCAAGAGGGGTCTTGGTATCTTGCCTAAGCTGAGCTAGAACTCCTGGCCTCAAGTGATCTGCCTCTGCCTCCCAAAGCATTGTAATGACAGGTATGAGCCACTGCACCCAGCCAGCAACTCAAAGAATCTTACCCTACGATGTAGTAGTTGTTGACTCGGACCCGGAGGGCGGTGATGGGGCCGTCCAACTGGTTGCCAGAATGAGAGAATCGCTTTCCGCCACCACCTCCATACTCTCCACTATAGGAGGAAGACCTGGCCTGAACTGGAGGGGCAAGCAGGAGTTGGAGGGAGAAATCTTCCAGTTCAGTTTCTCTGCACCACCCCTGTTCCTCCCACAACTCAGCTCCCACCTGAAACCAGCCTTCAAAAGCCTTGGCCAACAGCAGTGCCCAAGGCTGCCTTCCCATGTCCCGATTACCAGGCTCTGGTATCTCACTTACTGGCATTGGCAGAGGCTGAGGCACAGAGAAGGGCTAGGAGAGCGACTGTCAACATTCTGAGGCTGGAGTGGGAAGAAAAGAGCAAATGAAGTTTCACATTTTTCCTTGTGGACTTGATTGACCCAGGCACTCCTGACCTGCGGCTCAGACCAAGGCTTCTTCGTCCTTCAACTCAGAGCTAGCAGACCCAGTCTTGAGCTTAGAAATGACTATCCATAGCCTGTAGTCCTGTTCCTCCCTGATGCTACCTTCTATGTCCCTGATCCCTCTAGCTCTCCCTGGTCTGGCTGTAGCCAAGCCCTCCTCTTTTCTCTCAAGCCTGAAAATGAACCCTAACTATCTGGATTAAGCCTTATTCCATCCTGGCGCAAAGCAGAAAAGTTTTCTGAAATCAGCCAAACTCAGGTACATTTGGGTTGGTGTGGCCATAGCCAGGAAAGAAGTTTTCTAAGGAGGGAGTAGAGGACCTCTTGCAAGCAAAGAGATGGCTGAGTTTACCAAGCCCAGAGGCTGAGCAAAGAAAGCCTCACCATCTGTGGTGAAGTGGCCTGACTTATGGGGCACCTGGAGCATGGTTTAAATCCCTAGCATCCACCTGGTCGCAAGGAAAGAAGAATTTTCGAGGTGCCTCTATGTCACCTGGGGAGCAGAGTTGGTGACAGAAGGGACTGTGCCAGCACCAGTATCCGAGCAGTGCTGGTGGAACTAGGACAGACAGAGAAGTTGCAGAAGGAGTTGGGACCAGCTCAAGATATTAGACCCCAGGTACCTAGTCTATGTGTCACTATTCTTTTCTCCACTAACACACATCTGGCCATGTCCATTCCCCTGAACACCTGGACACCTGAACCAGGTGTCCCCAGTCCTTCAGCAGAGACCTAGACAGCTTTGCACCTAAGATTAGTGCAGACCCAGGAGCCCCAATTAACTCAAGTCTTTCCTGCCACTCCTTCCAGGCATCCTATTCGCCAGCTCAGATTTGAATTCCCCCCCAACTCAGATTCCGGCATCTTTGCCACCCCTCACCTGGCAGTTTCAGATGCAAAGCAGCCCCCTGGAAACTTCCAGATGTTTTATACCAGGTCCAAGCCCTCCCCCTGCCCTTTATTGTGTGAACCTCACCTCCTGAGCAAACATGAGCAACCTCTTCGGATCAGGTGTCAGGCGGGGTCTGGAACACCTTATCCTGCCTCTCCCCCATAGTCAACAGATACTACAGCATAGGGCAAGATTCTCTGAGTTCCTGGCTGGACATGGTGGCTCACACCATAGTCAACAGATACTACAGCATAGGGCAAGATTCTTTGAGTTCCTGGCTGGGCATGGTGGCTCACACCATAGTTAACAGATACTACAGCATTGGGTAAGATTCTTTGAGTTCCTGGCTGGGCATGGTGGCTCACACCTGTCATTACAATGCTTTGGGAGGCAGAGGCAGATCGCTTGAGGCCAGGAGTTCTAGCTCAGCCTGGGCAAGATAGTGAGACCCCATCTCTATCAAAACAAAAAACAAAAACAAAAATTAGCCAGGCAAGGTGACGAGCACCTGTAGCCTCAACTACTCAGGAGGGAGGTGGGGAGGATCGCCTGAGCCCAGGACATTGAGGCTGCAGTGAGACAAGATCATGCCACTGCACTCCAGCCTAGGTGACAGGTGGCAAGGGGGAGTCCACTCTGGGCCAAGTGCCGTATATCAGGAGGAACATAGTAAACTTAAGGTCACCACCAGCAGCTCTGGGTGGGCAAAGTAGCTTATCACCTCTAGGCTTGGTAGATGCCCTCCCCTGAAATCTGCCATCTGTCAGGACAAACAGAGCCCCTCCCAGGCATTTGAAACGTGGATTCTCCCAGAAAGGGAATATATTCCCTTTCCAAAACCTTACACTTAGGAGTGCCGACTATTTGCCAGACATTTTTTTCTTTCCTTTTTCTAATATTATGAAAAATCCAAAGACATGTAAAAGTTTAAAGAACTGTACAGTGGCCGGGCACGGTGGCTCACGTCTCTAATCCAACACTTTGGGAGGCCGAGGCAGGTGGATCACCTGAGGTCAGGAGTTTGAGACCAGCTTGGCCAACATGGTGAAACCCCATCTCTAGTAAAAGTACAAAAAGTAGCCAGGTGTGATAACTGGTGCCTGTGATTCCAGCTAGTCAGGAGGCAGAGGCAGGAGAATCACTTGAACCTGAGGGGCAGAGGTTGCAGTGAGCTGAGATCGCACCACTGCACTCTAGCCTGGGCAACACATTGAGACTCCATCTCAAAAAAAAAGAAAGAAAGAATTGTATAGTGAGGCTGGGTGCAGTGGCTCATGCCTGTAATCCCAGCACTTTGAGAGGTCGAAGCAGGAGGATTGCTTAAGCTCAGGAGTTCAAGACCAATGTGGGCAACATAAGGAGATTTCATCTCTACAAAAAAATAAAACAATTAGCTAGTGATGGTGGTGCACACCTGTGCTCCCAGCTAGTCAGGAGGCTGAGGCAGGAGGATCACTTGAGCCCAGGAGGTCAAAGTTGCAGTGAGCCATGATTAAAACATCATGTCTCAAAAAAGAAAAGAAAAAAAAAGAATTGTGTAGTGAACACTCATATAACCACCGTATAGATTATACTATGGTTAATATTTTGCTGTAATTGCTTTCTTTTTTCTTTCTTTTTTTTTGGAGACAGAGTCTGGCTCTATCCTCCAGACTGGAGGGCAGCGGCACAATCTTGGCTTACTGTAATTTCTACCTCCTGGGTTCAAGCAGTTCTGCCTCAGCCTCCCAAGTAGCTGAGATTACAGGCACGCACCACCACGTCCAGCTAATTTTTGTAATTTTAGTAGAGACAGGGTTTCGCCATGTTTGCCAGGATGGTCTCAATCTCTTGACCTTGTGATCCGCCTGCCTTGGCCTCCCAAAGTGCTGGGATTACAGGCATGAGCCACCGCACCTGGCCTGCATTTTTTTTTTTATCCACTCATCTATTTATCCTCAATATGCCAAACCCTTCCCAAACCATATCTCTCTGAGAAGGATGCCTGGGGCTGCAGGTGCACAGTGAACACGTGCCTATTGCCCCCCTGGAAACAGAGTCAGTCCAGTGGGAAGTGCGAAGCTGAGGATCCGAAGGTCTACAGGTGTCCCTCTGAGGGTAATTCTGGGCTTTGGGCTCTCAAGTCTCCTGGGTACCATGGCTGAATCTTCCTGGGGCTGTAGGCCACCCAGGCCATTGCTTCTTTCTTAGGTCTGTAACACCCCCAGGGGTGATGTCATAGATTTTTTTTTTTTTTTTTTTCTCTGTAGGCTCTTCACTTTCAGGACTGATTCCTCTCAGCCTAAAATCCCTAGGACCAACTCCAGGGACCTAGCGCCTGACCCCTCCTGGACGGGCCCTCTGACCTCTCTGTTCAGCAGGTCCAAGAAGAGGGAAGGATAGAGGACCGGAAGGGGTTGGAATAAGTACTCTCAATTATAAATGACTAGTCAGGCATTCAGCACGCCCCACCCCTCACAGGCTTACCATCTGGGGCCAAGGACTCATCCCAGATAGCAAAGGCAGTTCCGCCCTGAGGATCTGGAAATGGCGGGGACTCCAGGGGGATGAGTTCTGGGAGTGAAACAGAACAGCAGCCAAAGATGCCACGTTCACTCCTCCCTTCCCCTCTCTTTTTCTCCAAGGTCAAGGTCAGCACATCCTGCTGCTATAACTTTCACCTCATTCCAGCCATTTTGTTTTGTGTCTCTCTCCCTCTCTCTTTCCCAGTGACTCTCCTTCCTTTTATGTCTTTATCTTTCCCTGCTCTAAGGAGGATTTTTCTTTCCTTTTTTTTTAGATGGAGTCTTGCTTTGTAGCTGGGCTGGAGTGCAGTGGTGTGATCTCGATTCACTGAAACCTCCGCCTCCAGGGTTTAAACATTCCCCTGCCTCAGCCTCCTGAGTAGCTGGGACTACAGGTGTGCACCACCATGCCCAGATAATTTTTTGTATTTTACTAGAGATGGGGTTTCACCATGTTGGCCAGGATAGTCTTGATCTCCTGAAATTGTGATCCACTTTCCTCAGCTCCCAAAGTGCTAGGATTACAGGCATGAGCCACCACACCTGGCCTTTTCTTTTCTTTTCTTTATCTTTTTTTTTTTTTAAGACAGAGTCTCACTCTGTTGCCCAGGATGGAGTGCAGTGGCCCGATCTCAGCTCACTGCAAGCTCCGCCTCCAGGGTTCAAGTGATTCTCCTGCTTCAGCCTCCCAAGTAGCTGGAATCAGGCACCCACCACCCTGCTCGGCTAATTTTTGTATTTTTAGTAAAGATGGGGTTTCACTATGTTGGCCAGGCTGGTCTTGAACTGACCTCAGGTGATCCACCCACCTTCACCTCCCAAAGTGCAGGAATTACAGGCGTGAGCCACCACAACTGGCCTAAGGTTTTTTCTTATATTCCTTCTCTCCATGCCTTCTCTCCATGACAGGCTGGACAGGCTGGTTTCGAACTCCTGATCTCTTGATCCACCCTCAGTCTCCCAAAGTGCTAGGATTACAGATGTGAGCCACCGTGCCCGGCTCAACACATGTTTATCAAGCATCTCTACATTGGAGGCACCATTCTAGGTGCTGAAGAGACAGCAATGAGGAAAAGAGTCAACAGCCAACCTCAAGGAGCTGTAGGGCCAAGGGAAAGCTTCCTCTCTGCTCTCTAGCCCTATAAAGGCTCCCCGAAAAGGAACTGACAGTTGGCAAATTAATAGGAGAAAAAGGTGTACAAAATTTATGTCACATGCACAAGCGCAAGGGAACCACAGGAGAATGATGACCTAATAACGCAGCGTGGTCCAGATGCTTATGTAGCCTCCTTCCTCATAGGGGAGGGGAAATGGGGGTGCAGCAATGTTGAGAGGTAGTATGTGATTTTGTGGGGAACTATATGGGGCCAGGCACAGTGGCTCACACCTTGTAATCCCAGCACTTTAGGAGCCTGAGGTGGGTGG